CTCTTCTTGGTGTGGAACTGCTGGCCGGGGTTCTCGCTCACCACATCTATGCGCAGATGCTCGAGGGGCACGTGCTTCTCGGAGGACAGCGCCAGCAGCAGCTCGTCGCTCAGTAAGTGATAGTTCAGAGCCAGCTCTCTCAGACCGTGACACTGATCAGCGACGCACAGAATACCTGCAACAACAGCAGACTGATGGGTTTCACCTGCGCTAGACACTACAAATAATAGAGTCTGACTAAGGTCCATGCACTATTAAGCACAAACACAGTTGTTAGATCTAATTACATATCAACCTCTGACAAAAGAAACATCAATATAATTTCATAAAAAAAGAGTGGCAGAATGGAAGTGTGACTGGAGTGGTGTGGATTATTGTAATGTTTTTATCAGCTGTTTGGACTCTCATTCTGACGGCACCCATTCACTGCAGAGGAACCACTGGTGAGCAAGTGACGTGATGCTACATTTCTCCAAATCTGTTCTGATGAAGAAACAAACTCATATACATCTCGGATGGCCTGAGGGTGAGTAAATTCAGCCAATTTTCATTTTTGGGTGAACTATTCTTTTAATATTGATTTTTCAGATTATTTAAAAGTTAACCTAAAATCAAAATTGTGTCATGTTGTATCATGTTGTTCCAAATCCATATGACTTAGTCATACACAATACTGACCTGCTCTTTTATCAAGTGAATAATAGTGAATATGCACTGTGAATATCAGGTTGCAAAAATTGCATAAAAAGCCTATGTTTGTATGACTCGTGCGCTACATTTCAAGTCGTTGTGAGAAGAACGGACCTAAATTTAAGTGGTTATTCACTGAAAATCTTTCCACTTCCACTCAAAAGGAGGTATTGCAGCATTGAAATCAATGTTGACTGCATCACAAAACACAACATAAGAGCATAAGAGAACATAAGAGAATTGGTGCTTTCGTGGCATGTTGTATTTACCATAATTACTAGATGACAAGCCGGACGTTCAGCTCAAAGCTGTTCAACCTCAGACTTATGCATTTCTAAGGCAACAGTACTAACGGCAAAATTCATGTGTAATTTGAGAAATCAACTGACAAAACCACAATGCAGCAAGTAGTATTATGAAAATTGCCTTAATAAACTTATGTAGCAGGATTTTACATATTGGTTATCCAGTTCTGTGCAAGCTACATTAAACAGTATTGTGTCTTTTGTTTATTTCAGACTATTCTTGCATTAAGATAAAGTCGTCAATTATTAAACTTATTATTGATATTAATATTTAACTGTTTAAATCAAAGCTCCTCAAATAACAACAGCGGCAGATGAGCAAGTCATACCTGCAGGAGAAACATGTGGGCAGCTGCTCATCTTTAACAGCTTGAGTGTGTCACTGTTGTTGGCCACCAGCACCTTGAGCGAAGGATCATCCACTGGCGTGTCGTCAATTTTCAGAGACGAAAGAGACTTGGAGTTGACAAACACCACGGTTAGTGCAGAGATGAAGTGCGACTGAAGAGAGGAAACAATCAGACATCAGGAAACAAGCCGACCCATCACCCCAACACACAGCTCAGCCAAAACACACGTCCTGATACCTTCGGCAGCTCCATGAAGCTGGGCCGTGCAGTGGAGATCAGCCCAGGAGTCTTCAGAGAGCAGTTGACCAGCTGAGACAGGATGTCACACGCAGCCTCCGCTGACTCGGTACTGCTGTCCACCTGTGCACACAGATCACACGCGCTTAGCATCAGCTCCAGCAACTCAACTACTGATCAGACCAGCCGTGTTCAGAGTTACTGTAAAATAGTCACATCTAAAATAGTCACATCTAAAATCTATCTATATATTTATATATCACCTATTTTTTTTAGGTGCACTTACAATGCGAATTAAAATTCTGTCATCATTTACTCACCCTCATGACAAACCCACAAGATTTTCATTCATCTTTGAAACACCGATACATTTCTAATGAAAACCGAAGAGATTTCCGTCCCTACATTGAAAGCCCATGCAGCCAAAACCTTAAGGCTTGAAAAAGTTTATCAAGACATCGTATAAGTAATCCACAGCAAACCATGGAGTGGTTTAATCTAAGCCTATCATATTCATTGTATCTAACAAGTATATCATTTCTACCATATCTGATGAGCTCTATGCAGGTGCGTTGATCAGTGATTATATGTAAACAAAAGCCTAAATTAAATCTGTTCGTCATATAAAGTGATTGTCTCTTCAGAAGACAACTCGATTCATGATTTGAAGATTTCAAAGAAGGGACAAGAAATCTCTCAGATTTTATTAAAATATTTTCATTTGTATTTTTAAGATGAACAAATGTCTTATAGGTTTGGAATGACATGATTTGGGCAAGTGAATGATGCCAAAACTGTCATTTTTGGGAGGCATAGTTCACCCAAAAATGAAATTTCTTACCCAAATCACATTGTTTTAAGCCTGTATGATGAAAGATAGATTCAAGAACGCTGGTAACCAAAGTTTACCAAGTTTTGGTTACCATTGCAATCCATCAGACACCAAAACTGTTTGGTTACCAGCATTCTTCAAAATATCTTAATGCTCTGCAGAAAAAAAAAAAAAGAGAGTCACAGGTTTGAAACGACATGATTTGAGTCAGTAAATTTTGCCAGAAATTTAATTTTTGGGAGAACTGTCCCTTCAAGTTCGGCATGATTTGTGAGCTGTAATGTTTAAAGTGGTAATGTGGAGCCAGCTGGTAACTGTCAGCTTCCCGCTGAGCCTCTCACCTTGAAGCTGACGTACTGTAAATGATTGGAGTGCCTCTTTATGATTTGCTTTATTAGGTCAGGATGAGTGGCCTTCAGGTAAGAGCTGGCAGGCTGGTTGAGCTCAAACTCAAAGCACCTCCAACAGCTCGGGCATGTGGAAGGCCTCATTCCAGCCGCGGCAGACCTGCGAGGCGAAGGCGCGATCGAGGAGAGGCAGGTACTGGAAGATGTGGAGCAGGATCTCCTGTGGCAGTCGAGCCCAGTTGGACAGCAGATCTCCAGGGTCCTCGGCGGACTGTCTGACCCTCTTACAGGAGTCTGTCGGCCCCTTACAGGATGAGGTGCTGTCCTCGCGGTCTCTGCTCAACCTTTTCATTCTTGGGGGCCTGAGAGAGCTGTGAAGCATTAGAGGTATACACAGTGGCAGATGCAAACATGCAGAGAAGACATGCATCCTAAAACAAGTTTATTTTACAGGGTTTGCTATATTTATTACGTTTAAATGGCTTTGAACTTTCCTGAAAACGAGTTAAACTGCTTTAATGCAATTATAAACAAATTCCATGTTCGCAGCAAGTTTCGTTATACTCGAGATTAACCAGCAACCAATGCTTTCAATTAATATAAGCAACTGAACTGCCATGGATGAGATATTACTCATGAACAAACACTTTATTAACCCAATAAACACACTGCACTCATGCATTTAGTTACAGAGAGTGATCTAGTTAGATTAAACCAACAACAGCCTTGCTGCGCTGCTCCAAATAAATGTTAACAGTTACCTGTTTTGCATGTTACTCATGTAAAGTAGCAAATGCAAACAGTGAAAAATAGGCAAAATCCCGACTCCTCGTCTGAATGTCAGCCCGGACCGGGACCGGAACACATCAGAGCGGCGCAGAGGACATGCATTGGAGACGAATGGGTTGAATTTGTCGTTTTGCGTTGTTGTTTTCGCGGGAGTCTGAATGCGTACGTCTCGGCGATGTTGCTGGTTGCCCTACTTCTCGCTGAGCTCTATACCGCGGGAGATTTCAGCGTCCCCGCCTCCTCCAACGCTGAATATGGCCACAAGAGCGGTGTTGTTGTCGAGCGTGAGCGGCTGCCTGCTGTTTATGCCCGGACTCTTCCTCCAGGGGGCGCACAGCGGCTCAGAAAGCCGAACCCTTCATACAACAGCATTCCGTTTCTTACGATAGACATTCATAAGTATACGCTTTTAATACGAGGCTCTAATTATTAGTATGTGAGTGACATGCTAATAGGAAGCCGTCCAAGCATTCGCTAGTGTGTTTGCTCGAGCCTCAGCAACGCGGAGAAAGGTAGCACGCACCACGTGACAAATGTTGTTATTGTGCTTTCAAATGCGCCAGTTTACTTAAATGTGCATACACTATTTCAAATTTTTGTAGATAATTTCGGTGTTAGGTCTGCCGTCTGTTTTTATTTATTTATTGCAAACATGATAAAAAATAGAAAATCACCTTACATCAGGTCTATTCAAAGTACCGGACGTTGTGGTACGAAGTATATCTGCATATAAATTACAACGAGGACGTTATATTTACATATAAATTCCAATTGGCTGGCTTTCTCACATCTGTTTTGCATTCTGGATTGTGATTGGTCTTTTCGCTCACACGCTAACAAACAGCCAGTGTTGCCAAGTCCGCAGTTTTCCCGCGGAGCTGTCTGGGCTACTTTAACACTGTTGCTGCGGGTTGTTTTTCATGTCCAACCTCAATAACGCGATATTTAGCCCCTGGAGTGCTAATTTTACCAGGGGAACCCTACCAAAAATGTGTATTTTAAACCCCCGTAATGCGTTTGGGTGGGCTTTGTTGTGAAAACCTGGCAACCCTGCACACAGCAGACGGAAAACTGATGTGCCAACTATAAGATGCCTCTGACGCGGCATATATTTTATGCCTAAACCAAAGCCAAAACTTTAATGTACCCAAATAAACAAATAGCTAATTGCAAATAGCGCTATTTTAGGAAATAAACCGCTTTAGACGTACCGTATGAGAAACGACGTTCGGGTCGCCAAGCTCTGTCCGCCACAGACTTTCATTTTCGAGCTTGCATGTTTCAGGAGTGAATGAGAAATGAAAGAAAAGCACAGGACGCTCCTTTTGGAATGTACCTTGCTGAACAGAGAACCCTGTTTATTATTACTACTCCGCTCCATCCACAGATAATAATACAAAGCAGATTCACAAGTTGCAATTTTTTGTCTCTTACACTGTTAATCATCACCCCCCCCCCCCAAACAATCTTTCCAATATGCCTCCAAAACAACCATTAAATAGCCACAATTTCTAATATATATCTTGTTTTGCCTCACGGTCCTTTGATTTGGTGTGAAGACTGGCCCCAAGGAGTCGTGTTCTTACAATACAAAAGCAGAACATACTCACCTTCGTTTTAAAATGACAGGAAAAAGGGGTTTATACCACGTCATTGAGACAACAGGGCAGACACCGCAGACAACAAGCCCCTCGATAAGGTTCTGACTACAGAAATGATGGCACACTTGCCGGGGAAAACACAACAGTGTGTGTATCACTGTATAAAAATGTACAGTGGCTTTATTGACATACATTCCATATGTTTACATCTGCGAGGAGGCACGCCCAGTATTGCACTTCATTAAAAGTTCTGGCTCAAAACATAACCCAGAATATCAAACGAAAACTGAAGTGTAGAGTAGCAACGTCGGGATACACATATGAAGGGTTACTGTCATTATATACAAGATTAGATAAATCGTACACTATTTTCCTCCAGCGTCACATTCTAAAGTCCTCTTATAGCATTTGAATCTTTAGCAGTCAAACCATGATGCACTCCAAAGTGAAGGAATACTGTACAGGATTACGAAAACAAAGTCAGTTTACATACAACAATAGAATCTTAAATTTGTATTCGAGAAGCTCAAATCATGGCCCATCCGCGGTGGTCTCGGATCCCAAAATCCTCCATACATTGTTACCCTTCAGTGGTCAGGAGGTGTGCAACGTTTATACAAGCCGCAGGGTTACAACGGCTACATGCAAACACGTCACAACGTTATTTTATTTTTTTTGTTATTTTTTTCATTCTTCAGCATCTAAAGAGAGGGTAGGGATGCACCCTGGTGCACAGCGGCCCGTCACAGCCCCCTCAGAATGGGACGTCCGCTGTATCTGCTCTCGGGCTGCGCTGAAGAGGGAGTCGGCCGCCCAGGAGGGTGAATATATATATATATATATAGAGAGAGATCATTATAGGACTCTGGCGTTTAGAAGGTATGGGCATTTCTACACACGCCGCAGCCCAGGGCGAACTCCTCTCCGGTGGGAGGATGTACTACATGCAGGGGACACTCGCTTCCTTCTAACTGTTTTCCTTTTGGTCCTGTGAGGAAAGAATGAAAATGAAGTCAACATGTTGTTTTGTCAGTTTGTTGGCTTAAGCAATTTCAATAACAGCTTGTCATTAAACAAAGGCCTAATTCAACAAGAGAAGGATGATACACGAGTTTCAGACAAACCAAACATGGTGGTGGGAAGTTTTAATGCAAGCACTTGTCTTATAACATGTATGAAGTGTTTTACCAGCAGGACAATGAGGCAGCTCTTCTTTTGGGACACTGGTCATCCTCTGGAAATCATCATGACAGGCGTTGCAAAAATGTGTCGTCCCAAAGCAGAAGAACACAGCCACAGAGCAACAGTAACGACATTTATACTCCAGGAAATCTGTCCCGTGTTTAGAGCACATCTGCAGCAAAAAGAAAGAGCTCTAAACAACCTCATTCCAAAGCAGCACATTCCTCGCAACCATTCTCTTTCTCTCTGTTTTGCTGTGATTCGCCATTACAAGCAGTCAATGAATGAATGAATTAATTTTCATCATTTTCTAACTTAAAATCAGCAAGCTTTTATTTTGGCGGGTTGCCGGGCGAGCAAGTATATGCGCTGCCAAGTGAAGAGCGTCAGTGAATGAAATGTCACAGTTTTGCATTGTGTTTTGAAAACGGCAGCGGATAGCCTAGATTTATGCTTTCAGTTCGCATAGAAATCTTACAGTATAACAGCGTGTCGATCTAAAATCGTAATTGTGCATTAACAGCTGCCAACCATGTCGGTACGCAAATGAACTTATTTTATTTTGGTCACGCATGCGCACCTGCGATCTCCCTAGTAAATATTTAAATTAGTAAAACTAAATCATTTGGACCACCTCTTAAACTCACTTTCAGTTTCTCGCTTTTCATCAAAAGATAAGTACATTGAAGACAACGCTTCCCCGCCAAAGACGAGTTTTTACGGCTTTTCGTGTTTTTACTGTTATACACTCGGGGGCGCTATTACACATCTTCTGAACGAGTACAAAACCTCCCGAAGATACATATGAAAAATAATGCGATCATCAGAAACAGACAGCATATAAATGAAAACTGCATAATGTTACGGTGTAAATTGTTGATCCAGGAAGTGGTATAATGTCTGTGCAAGCTTTGGAGGTGTTGATGGAAGCGATTTACTGGATTTATGCTTTGATAATCGTACTGAATATTATCCAGATGTAGTTTTTGATAAAAATGTGATTTTCTCACCTTTTTGCTCAAAATTATGCATTTTTATGAAACCTACCTATATTCAAGTGTTGATAAAAAAAGAATGCTTTAAGCTAGAATAAAACAGATTTTTTTTGTTTAAAAGTAGAGGCTCTGATCTTTACTTTGGTGTATTGCATATTCAAATATTCATACAGCAAAATGTACTGGAGGCCATCAAATTTGAGTGACTGTTACGTTTCTTAAAAAAGACGGTTGCTAACAAGTTGCTAAATGGTACTACAGGCGCTGTCGGAGACATTAAACGTCGTTACGCCGAACAGTTTATCAATTTACAGTATTTTCCAGTCGTAGTATAATTTGTAATACAATTAATTGTAGAATAACCAATTAATAGTTTCCTGCATTTTATATTGTTGGTCGACAATGTTTTTTTGTTTTGCCCCGAAATGCAACACAAGTCTTCGGATGAAAGATGCTGGTTTTATCGCTTTCCTACTGATGCGGAGACTCTGGGTTCGTACCATAAGGTAAACTCATATTACGATTATTCCATGTAAACACCACATTTACCGGTTTAGTGACGGGGAAAGTTAAACTTTAACGATGCATAGTGCTTAAAGCCACGCTAAATTTAAATGTTTATGGCCCCGTTAGAAAGCCTATGAGGATTTCCTAGAAGCAAGGATAAAATAACATTGTGTCCCCATCCTAACAAAACGATAGCTGAAATGTGGTACTTTATTTACTAAAATAAGTTTAATCT